TCTATTAATTCATTGTTACTGTCACTTCTGAATTTGTTCCTATTGATTCTTCTCTATTCTTTTTTTTTCTGGTACCAGGGATCAAACGCAGAACCTTGTGCTTGCCAGGCAGGCACAGTGCCCCTGAGCTAAATCCCCAGCCCTTCTCTATTCTTATTATTTCCTTTTATTTATTTATTTATTTATTTATTTTGGTCCATATAGTAATTTGGTTTGGTTTGGTTTTGATACAGCATCTTGCTATGTAGTTCAGGCAGGCCTTGAACTCATCTTCCTGCCTCAGCCTCCTAAGCGATTGGATTACAAGTATGTAGCAATCTATCTAGTAATTTTATTAGCTATTAAATAAAACCTTGTTGAGTGTCTAGATTGTGTTGCTTTCCTTTAGAGTTTCAGTTTTGTTTGGGCACTTTTTTTCTTTTTTGGTTTTCGTTTTTTTGTGGTTGGGGTTTTGGGGGGGTTTCTTGTTTTTTGGTACCAGGAATTGAACTCGGGACTTTGCTTATGAGGCAGGTGCAGTGCCACTGAGCTAAATCCCTGGCACTGGTTGTGCACTTTTTTGTAGAACAGCTTAATCCTATTAGGGTTTGTTTGCAAGCTTTGTTACAATGGTTATAGTGTAACTTTGTTAGAGAGTTAGATTAGCCCTAGTTAAGATACAACCTGCATTAAGATATAACCTGCCATAATCTCTGCACTTAGGAAGCTGAGGTAGAAGGGTCACCTTGAGTTCAAGGCCAGCTTGGGCTACATTACCATGACTCTGTCTCAAAATAAATAAATAAATAATAAAGGATGTAACTTTTCCAGGGTCTTTACTTAATAATGCTCCAGGTATTCAAGAAACTCTCTCCTCTCCAGATGGTTGGAATTAATTCTCTCTTTGCCCTATGTGAACTGTAGTAACTATTCAGTGGTGCCTTGTCAGCCAGTGTGGAGTTTCTCTTTGTGTAAAGACTCAAGGGGAGCCGGGGATTTAGCTCAGTGGTTCTGCTACCTGCTTTGCAAGTCCAAGGTCCCGAGTTCGATCCCCAGAATCAAAAAAAAAAAAAAAGACTCAAGGGGAGGCCACAGGGATTTATGGAGCTTTCTCCCTCCACGGCTCCCTCATCTCCAGCACTCTGAGCTGCTCCAGCCTCCCCAGACTGTGATCTCAGCTTCTCCATTCAGCAAGACCACTGTGCTATGCTTGGCTTCCCCCTCCCTTTGCCATGGTCAAGAAAGTACCTTCAGGAAGAAAGCAAACTAGAGCCATCAGAGAAGAGATGACCTTGTTTATCTCCTTTCTCACAAGGACCATAGTGCTGCACTGTCTGCCATAAAATGTCAGAATGCAGTTACTTCACATCTTTTTTCTGGTTGATTTGAATGAATCACTCCATCATGGCCAGAAAAAGAAGTCTATTTACTTTTCAAGCAGTGATAAAATTTTATGTTCATATTTAGCCTGTGATATTAAAATCAAGCACTGGTGGTTTCCTTGTTATTTATTCTAAAATATAAGTGAGACTTATTTTGGGGGCATTTTGGCACACTCAGCTGAAGCAGGCTGATTCAGGAGGCTGAAGTCAGAGGATTCCAAGTTCAAGCCTAGTCTGGGCAACTTAATGATTTAACAAGGCTCTGTCTCAAAATAAAAAATAAAGAGAGCTGGGCATGTAGCTCAGTGCAAAAGCTCTGGGTGCAATTCCCTGTACTGAAAGAAAAAAAAAAGTCGGACATGACAGCTTAATCCCAACACTCTGGAGGCTAAGGCAGAAGGATTGCCAGCCTGGGATACATAGTGAGTTCAAGGTCAGCCAGAACTAGATAGTGAGATCCTATCTCAAGAAAAAAAAGTCTACACTGAAAACCATTAAATTATACATTTTAAGTGGATAAATTGTGCTATATGAATTATACCTTTAAAATGTTATAAAAAGTCTACAGATAAACTTCAAATAAACCCTCTTTCCCCAGAGTATCAGCCTCAATATTCTGGGTGGTAGCATAAGAAAAACTATAAATTTCAATAAACAGAACCCATACCACACCCCAAAGCAAGCCTGAAAGGTGAAATCTACAAGTTCCTCTGGGCAATACCAATTATTTTATATGTTCCACATCCCCAAAGTGGATGTGCAGGCTGCTTCATTCTGAAATTCCAGTTGCTTTAACCTTTTCAGATTGAAGACTATGATGGAAAAAAATTCCGCCTGAGAGCTGGAAATTTAGCTCAGTGGTTCCACTGCCTGCCTCGAAAGCTCAGGCTCCTGAGTTAAATCCCTGGTACAAAAAAAAAAATAATAATGGGGCCATACCTGTCTTGCAAGCACAAGGTCCTGAGTTCAATCCCTGGTACAAAAAAAAATTCTGCCTAATCTCTTTCATGTGGCATTCATTGAGAATGAAAACAGGAGTTTAGTATAATGTCTGCTACTTCAGGGTCTCTCCTTCTTCTCCCTCTGCCTAAAATTTGAAACTCTGTATCAGCTTTTTTTGTTGTTGTTTTATTTTGCTTTTTTGGGTTTGTTTGTTTGTTTGTTTGTTTGTTTTTTTGGGGGGGGTTTGAGACAGGATCTCACTATGTAGTTCAGACTGCTCTGGAACTCACTGTGTAGCCCAGACTGGTCTCAAACTCACAGCGATCCTTCTGCCTCAGCCTCCCAAGTTCTGGGATTACAGGCGTGCGCCACCATGCCCGGCCTTGTATCGGTTTTAATATTCTTCTCCACTCCCCTATTCCACCTACAATAATACCACAGAGAGAGAGAGAGAGAGAGAGAGAGAGAGAGAGAGAGAGAGAGAGAGAAAGAGAGAGAGAGCCACCAAACACAGTCAAGTTGCACCAACTGATATTTTTAAACTAAAGTGACCACCAAAGCCATGGCTTTTTAAATATGTGATCCTCTGTCCTTTGCCAAATGAAAGTCAGCCAATCAGTCACTGTTGGAAATTAATGTTCCCGCTGGAGTATCGTGGCACATGCCTATAATCCCAACACCCAGCAGGCCAAGGCAGGATTGTCAAAAGTTCAAGGCCATCCTGAACTACATACATACATTTAGATAGCAAGATGCCATCTAAAAAATAAAAACAAAACTTCTTACAGTAAATAATAAAAGAGTTTCAGAAAATAGGAGACATGAATAGGACCCATTTCATGAAGTCAATAAAGACACACAGATATAAGTGCAAATTAATATAAAACATACCTCAATTATCTCTAGAGGAAAAAAAAATGCTTTCCCAAGTGCAAATACACACTGAACACTACAATACATCTCAGTTGCTTATTCTTTCACAGCAACGTAATGTAAAATAACTTTGCAACTTGGGCAGGGCTGGTTGGAAGAAGCCTCTCTTTGCTCCCCATAGGCATGTGGGATGGCTCCAATGGGCTAGAAAATCTATTAACTTCTTCGCATGGTTGCCAGGTCTGACTGTTGGCCAGGTCTTCAATTGAGTCTAGTCTAAGTTGCTAAATTGCCCAGGCTAGGCTAGAGCTTGCACTCCTCCTGCTTCACTTCTCAGCGTGCTGGGATTACATACATAATCCAGCAAGTCCACTATACTTTGAGAAACTTTGTAAGAGTTTATAACAGGACTTAGAAGCTGGGCCTGCAAATACACAGTGGGTAACTAAAAGAAGTGTAAAGCTTGGCATCTCTACCTTCACTTTACATGTCTCCTTTATTCCTTAAAACTTTGGGTCAGATGCCTGTTCAGCTGTACACATAGCCAAGTTGATCACTCAAGGCGTCTATCTAAAAATTTAGCAATAGGGCTGGGATTTAGTTCAGTGGTTCCACCGCCTGCCTTGCAAGCACAACAACCTGAGTTTGATCCCCCATGCCAAAAAAAATAATAATAATAATAAAAATTAAAATTAAAACTTAGCAATATACATCTATCACCCTTAAATTTTCCTACTTTACATCAACCCCCTCAAGACTGACCATACTGAGATAAAAGTAACTAAGTTTTTTATATAACATCCTATTGCTGACCTCCTGGAACTGCCCAGACGTCCCTAGTCACTGTGCTAACCTATGGTCACCTTGGACTCCAGGAAAAGTGAGCATCACAGAACATTCCATGATGAAGGCGTCTCACACACAAGCAGGAACAACTATCTCACAGGAACCAGAGTGCTACTTCAAGCCATGAGGACTTTACCAGAGCCAGCCTCACAGAACCAGTACTGACATAATTAACCAGACCATGGCTTCACTAGAATTACCTATCCTGCCAGCTATGCAAACCCCACAAATATGCAAACCCCCAGCCCTTCTCTCAGATCTATTTTTTATAAAATCCTAAAGTTTCCATCAGCCCCTCAAAGACAGATCTTGAACCTCTTTTTCTGTTCTTCCCATCATGGCCATGTTGACTAAAGCTCCTTTCCTGCCCTCCACAACTGTCCATCTCCTTGACTGACTTTTTGGGATAAGTAGCCAAGCCAGATCTTTTGAGACTCCCAAGCCAGGCCTGGCCCTTCACATAGACATACAACTCCACCCAAACAAGGGAAATGGGACAGGGTCACTTTGGTTTTATTGTTGTTTTGATTTGTTTTGGTTTTGTTGGGTTTGGGGGTTGGTGTTTTGTTTTGAGACAGGGTCTCTATGTAGTTCTGGCTGGCCTTGAACTCACTATATAGGCTGCTCTCACACTTGTGGCAATCTTCCTGCCTCAGGGTTGCTAGTGCTGTATCTGAAAGGAAAATATTTCCTCCAAGAGATCTTCCCTCCTTTTCTGTCAGATTCAAGATTACCCTCGAATTTCATTGGGTCTCCAAGAACTGAACATCATCAGGCGTGAAAACACACCAAGCACTGCTAGTTGTCTAAAGACTATTTTTAACCCAACAAATCAGAGGACAACTGAGGCTTTGGGAAACTCCCCAGGATTACACCGTCACTAACAAGGCCATTAACGTGGCTCTTGTATTTAGCCTTCCAATCCCTGGAAGACACAGTCTTCGCGCTGTTACCAAGTGTCACTCCGAGGTTTCTTACCCACTTCAAATATGGCCACCCAGCTACGTTCTCCTTTGCCACCTGTTGGGCGGTGACAACTACGACTTCCGTGCGCATTTCCAAAAGGGACGCCTCCTACGGGATCGCGGTTCTAAGTGCGCACGCCCGAAAGCAAACCTACTTCCGGTCAAGATGGCGGCATCCTTGAAGTACGGACGCCGGGAGCTTCTGCTCCTACTACGGCCCCAGAGTCAGGTAAAGTTGCATCAAGGCTGAGTGCCAGGGTGTTACCCTGTCCCTATAACCAGAGCTAGGGACATGAGCAGCACATGCTGACCCGGTCACTACGACCAGCGTGTCATGACCTCGAGTCGCGTGAGGACACGGGAGGGTTAAGTCTCTGGCTCCGGTTTCCCGCAGCAGCCTTTGCCCCTCTCAGCTCCCGTCTGCGTGGGTCTTCTGTACCCCCGCGGGTCTGAGGCACCTCCGATGCAGGAGACCCGGGCTTAAGCCTGCTTTGGGGGCGAGAGCATAAAGAAGCCCCTGAGGCCCCATTCTGGGACTTGTGCTCTCAGTAAAGAGGCTCCGTTATCCTTTTACCTGGTCAGTTCCACAGCGTCGCAGGGCGCTCTCAGTGTCCCGGGAAAGCGTTAACCACTGGGTGCAGGATCTCAACCGGTCTGAGGTGCGGGCGACCGCAATACGTCCTCTTCGCTGTCTCCAGCCCCCGCTGCCTCAGTACCTCTGCCGTCTCCTTTGCAGAAGCCCAGGTAAGACTCCTCTCTGCTGTTTACAAGAAGTAGAAATATGTAGCAAAATTCTTTTCCATATTACATACAGTTTCCCAACATATTAACATATCTGCCTGGATTTTCAATTCAATTGGGAAATGACTGAAAGTACAATAGAAAGTATGTTATCTTCTAGGCATTGTGTGTCAGAGTGGTGGCAAGCCAATAAAGATGATGTGTGTCAGGGCTGGGGATTTGGCTCACTGGTTCTGCCGCCAGCCTCGCAAGTGCAAGGGCTGGAGTAAAAAGATGATGTGTGTGAGATTTGATTATAGGCTGTGTTTTAGAGAAATTGTAATTTCCACATCAAAACATGATTTCATAAATACTGTTTCTTGGGAGAAGACTAAATAAATTTATTAGTCATAAAAACTGAGTCAAGGCCTGGGGGTGTACCTCAATTGTAGAGCACTTGCCCAGCATGCAGGAAACACTGGGTTCAATCCCCAGCTCAAAACAAATATTTTTTTTTTAAAGACTTAACCAGAAATTGTAAGCATGATTAGTTTTAACATACAGCAAAAATCATGATAGTGATGTTCACATGGTTGAAGTTTGGGCAGTGATTCAAGAAGTAACTTTCCAGCATAAAGGAAAGTCATGCGATCTCAATATAAGTAATTTTTCTTCCTGTAAAAATAACGTGACCTTTTTAAGCACAAACCGTGGACACTGTAGGATAAATGAGAGAACAAGAAGTAGAGTCAAGAAAACAGAGACCAGCGATAGTCATCATGTAGGCATGTCCAGCCTGCTAACCCCCTAGAATTGGGCAGGAATGGCTTTCCTGGGTTGCACTGAGTGAAGAATTGTCTTGGGCAACATGTAAACTACATAGTTAACATGTATAAATAACAGGACTTATTTTTTATACATATATTTTATTAAAACACAGGCATGTCCAACCTGCAAACTGCTGGTTTGACATGGCTATTAGAAGGACCTCATTTCTGTGTGTTCCACTTATCTGAATACCACACATGGCTTCATTTTACACAGGTCCAGGCCCCTCCTGTTGTTCCTGCAACTCCCTCACCTGTAGTGGTACCTGAGGTGGCTTCTGGAGAAACTACAGACGTAGTCCAAGCTGCAGCAGAACCGAGCTTCACCGAACTGGGGCTTGGGTCATACACCCCAGTGGGATTAATCCAGAACTTACTAGAATTTATGCATATTGACCTGGGCCTACCTTGGTGGGGAGCCATCGCTGGATGTAAGAGAAATATATCCTGGGCAAGGGTAGAGGAAAGAAGGTTGAGGGGGCAGAACCTTAGAAGTGGCAGTGCTATGAGTAAATCAAGGAAGTAGGTACAGAAATTTGAGTTTCAGAAGAGCAGATTATATAAATGAAGCTCACGGTACGTAGATGCACTGTAGCTATATCTTCCAAAGACCATTATAAAATCATGTGATCACTTGGGATTGAAAAGTATAAATACTTCAGTGTAAGCAGGAAGTTGGAATAAGAGCACCTTATTAACAGCATTGAAGCTGCCTTGGTTTAGAAGGGTTGAAGGTTAGGTCAGGCACTTACACCCCTAAATAAAGAAGCCACTCAACACTGCTCTTATAAAGGCCAGAACTGTGGTTTGCACTCTGCTTCTCCTTATACCTTGGCCCATCAGTTAGCTCCTCTCTCCTGTGCTTTCAGTGTCTTCCTCCTCACTCTCCTCCCCTAAATATGCAAACATGCTCAAGCATACCCAAGTGTCAGTTGTAGCAACTTCTTTTCCTTTCATACTTGTTCCCCTTTCTTTTCTTTTCCTTTCATACCTTTTAATTAAAAGAGAATTTGCATCCAGTGGGCCCATGTCTTCCCATTTACTTTTTAACCTTCAGCAATCTGACCTTTACTAAAATCACCTCACTCTTAACTGCCAGTGCCACCATTACTGTATCTACTTTTCATATTATATTTGACCTTTCTGCATTAGATATTTTAAAATTTGAAATCACCCCTTTACTGTTTATGAAAATCTTTTCCTGGTTTTATCTTTCTGATCATGCCTTCCATCTTCATTATCCAGTACCTTTACCTGCCTCTTCAGCACTGATATTCTGGATTCTATCCTTAGCTCCCTGGTCTCTTCTCAGCCCAGATATTCATGTCTGTAGATCCATAAACTAAATATATGATAAACTACGTATCTGTTACAAGCCAGACATGGTGATGCATGCCATAATCCCAGCACTCTGTGAAGCTAAGGCAGGAAGATTGCAATTTCAGACCCAGCCTGGGCAATTTAACCACTTAGACCCTGTCTCAAAATAAATTTTAAAAAAGATTAGGGACATAACTGTAGGCCCTGGGTTAAATCCAGTATTACCCAAAGGCAAAAAAAAAAGAAGTTGTGGAAGTGATGAGTAATATGAAATGTAAAGAAAAGAAAAGGAGTTAAAGCAGTAAGCCACCAGATTACTTTCTACTCCCAGGATTTCTAGAACAATGGCTTTCACACCTCAAAGCACCATAGTTTTATAAATGTCCCCTCTACACAAGGTAACTGCTCTAGCATAAATAGTCCCAGGCTTTTTTCTTCACCAATGGTGCTTGATTTATTTTATTTGTATGTGGTATCTAAACTTGGAGCTCGAGGGGAAAAAAGTTCCATTGGTAATAGAAAAGTTTAGGGGCCAATTGATGTAGAAAAGAAGCTTCTGTTACTCTTTTATTCAAGTAAACAAACAGGATTCCTGGTCTTCTGCTTAGGTTACTGCCAAACTTTTGTGATTGTGGAGCAGAGAAACTAAGCCTTGAGAAACAAAGTCAATACCCTGTCCTAACTTCTGGGCCCCTTAGTCATGAGTCACTGTGTGGAAAAGTCTGGAACAAAAAAAAAGATTTCAATGAGGACCTAAAAACCTTCAACCTCCTGGCTACAGAATTGCTTTCATTTCACACCAATCCTAGTTTGTATTTTCCAGGTACAGTCCTTGCCCGCTGCCTGGTTTTTCCACTCATTGTGAAGGGCCAGCGAGAGGCAGCCAAGATCCACAACCACATGCCAGAGATCCAGAAGTTTTCCACTCGAATCAGAGAGGCCAAGTTGGCAGGAGACAATGCCGAGTGTGAGTCATTTGCAGGGTGAGCATGGGAGTGGACCACGTGTGCACTTCGCTACTGGGAGAAAGGGACAGCGTAAGCCAGGAATTGCTACACTTGAGCAAGTTCTAAAGATTATGTTTCCTGGGCCTAATGCTTCTGAAGATTGGCCACTCTTGGTTTGAAATTTCATGGTCCAGGTGATGAGGGCATTCACCCTCACTGAGGTAACTGTTGGCCATTAATTTTTTCTCAACCCACAGTTTACAAGGCCTCTATAGAAATGACAGCATACCAGAAAAAGCATGATATTAAATTCTTCAGACCTCTCATTCTACCACTGACTCAGGTGAGCAAAAACGTTTCCCTTCTATCTCATCTTGAACTCATTAAATGGCCTCCTGTATGTTTCCCATGCCAGAAGAGCAGGTAGTGGTGATATACGTGGCTTTTAATAATGGGGTAGTGAAAATGTTCCTTCTGGCAAAATGTGCTGACCACATTTATACTGTGTAATAGGCCCCAATCTTCATCTCCTTCTTCATTGCCTTGAGAGAGATGGCCAACCTTCCTGTGCCCAGCATGCAGACAGGCGGCCTTTGGTGGTTCCAGGATCTCACTGTGTCCGATCCCATGTTCATATTACCAGTGGCGGTCACTGCTACCATGTGGGGTGTCCTTGAGGTAAGGCCAAGTACCAGGCCTGCAGAGTGAATGGGAGTAGGGACACAGTGGTTGGGCAGAACAGTCACTCCACCCGCTGGACATGTGTTCTCTTTAGAATAGATGGGAGAGAGAGAGTGGAACCAGACTCACTGAAAATGACAAGCATTCACTGTAGTTTTCTTCTGCACCTTTTGACAGCTAGGCGCTGAGACGGGTATGCAGAGTTCTGACTTTCAGTGGATGAGAACTGTTCTTAGAATGATGCCTCTGGTAGTCTTTCCTATAACCATCTACTTCCCCACGGTAGGTCATGGCTTAGGGGCTGGGGCCACATCCTTCCACCTCACCTGGCCACCTCCTAGTGGCAGACCATGGCTGAAGCTCCTCAGTACCTTCTCTTTGTTGTAACCCAGGGAGTGTTCGTGTACTGGCTCACTTCCAATCTGTTTTCCCTGACCCAAGTGAGCTGCCTCCGGATTCCAGCTGTGCGCACTGCCCTTAAAATCCCCCCACGGGTTGTACTTGCCTCTGACAAATTACCTCCACGGGAAGGCTTCATCAAGAACTTCAAAAGAGGTAAGGGCACAACCCAGAGATAGTGGCCTAATGCTGGGGGTGGGACTGATGATCTTCTCCCCCGTCTTCACACAGGCTGGAAGAATGCAGAGATCGCACATCAGCTCCGTGAGCATGAGCGACGCATGCAGAATCACCTGGAGCTAGCAGCCAAGGGTAAGTCATCATTGCAGGTTCAATTCTGTCTTTGGTTTCTTCTTTTCCTTTGTTCACTGAGATTTCTTTTTTTCTCACCCAGGTCCCTTACGACAGACCTTTACTCACAACCCTCTGCTACAGCATGGAAAAGACCCCAACGTTCCCACCAGTGGCATCGGCAGTGACAAACCAAAGTCAAAGCAGCCATGGCGCGACACGCTTGGCTGACTCATGTTCTCTGCTCATCCTGGCAGGAACTATCTTGAAAAACTCATCCTCAGAACAGACTTGATACTATGTCCTTGGGATATGGAGATGTTTGTTTTAAAAACTGATTCTTGGGCCAGGGATTTAGCTCAGTAGTTCTGCCACCTGCCTCAAAAGCGCAAGGTACGGAGTTCAATTCCGAGTACCAAAAAAACTGATTCCACTACAGACTCACTCCTGCATGTAACAGAGCCCTGGTGAGCCAAGTGATCTTTCCACCCACAGGGTCAATAAATCTCCAGGCTGCTTCCTGGTACTTATTCAACAGGGAAATGGGTTGTGTGCTGCAAAACAATGAAGAGGTTGGGTCATGATTGCTCTTGCTGACCCACTCGGGAAGTGTTAAATGTTTTAACCTGGCCAATAAGAACTTAAACCTCACTCAAAATGTACAACCCTTTTCTTAACCCAAGATTATCTATACAGTTTTCTTTTAAGAAATAGAAGTGCAGGGCCGGGGATTTAGCTCAGTGGTTCTGCCGCCTGCCTCATGAGTGCAAGGACCCAAGTTTGATCCCAGTACCAAAAAAAGAAGTAGAAGTGCTGAAATTCTTAGTGATAATTAGGAAAAATGAAAGCATTTGTTTTTGTGCACATTATACAACAGTATGGAGTTGTCTTCCTGTCTGTGTAGAGATTAGTTTTATAAACTTTTACTGGCTGGTTTGAGAGGGAAGAAATGGTGAGATATCTTGTTTTTAGTCTTTCTGTTTTTAGGGTAATGGTGCTGTCCAGAGATACTAATAAGATGAAGCCACTCAGACTTTCGGAACATAACCCTTTTATTGTCCAACATCTGTGACAGGTTCACGTCTCTAAACGAGACACATTTGGGGCATTGTTGGCCCAAGAAAGAGGAGTACGTAGGCAGCCCCAGAGGTGCTGTGCTCCCCACCACATTCTGCTTTAGCATCCCTTTAGAGTCTGGAATGATATGTAGCAAAACAAATAAATTACTTTCCATCTTTAAAAAGCAAGTTCAGAGATGAAGCTGCCTAGACCAGGCATCAGGACAGGTGCCTCCAAAGAAGTGAATACTCCTGTTGTGCCTCCTTAGCTCTCGCCAGTAGCAGACAGAAAGCCTCTGCTTTCCACGTCTTATATTCTAGGTGGTATTTAGTTAGACTTGGGATCCTGTTCTTTGGATGTCCCTTCTCCATCTTCCCAGTCCATTTCTGCAGCCACTGACATACACAGGATCTGGAGGTACCGTGTAGCTGATGCTGCAAAGAGAAGTCTGAGTTAAAACGGAGAAGGTGGCCTGGGCTGAGTTCAAGTGGTATTGAGGGGGGCCATGCCTAAAGGGAATGAGTTAATTAAGCCTAGGGTGAAAAACTGGAAGGGGCTATGGCAAAGGTGACGGAGCCTAGGTTTGCAGTAAAAGCAAACACCAGGCTCCAAAGTCAGTGAGCTGAAGTGAGGATCCAGAACTTACCTACAATCCTTCGGAGGCAATGAGGTCGTTTTTCTTCTGGCACTCTGATGATAAGGAAGTAAAAGGGCAGGCCAGAGAGGGCAATGCCAATGCCGATGAGGGAGTTGATGGTGTCACTGTAGAGCGGGACAGCCACCAGGAAGATGGTGCAGAGGCAGAAGACAATGGGGAAGAAAAGGCTGAGCTAAGGGCACAGAGGAAACAACCAGGAGTTAGCTCAGAGTTCTTGACAGCCAAAACAACCCCACCTTCAATACAGACGAGCCCAGAAGGGCTGGGGATGTATCTCAGTGGGAGAATGCTCACCCAGCATGCCCAAGTTCTTAGGCTCAATTCCCAGCACCAAAAAAATTAGATCAAAGCACTGAGCCTTCCTTCTTTCCCATCATTTCAGCATACAAACACCACGTCCCAGGCAAGGGCTTCGGAATAGATGGTCTTCTAGGACCCCTGTAAGCTGGGCAAGGTGGCACACACCTATAGTCTCAGTACTCTGGGAGGCTGAGGCAGGAGGATCACAAGCTTGAACTCAGCCTGGGCAACTTGACTGTCAAAACTTAAGTAAAAAGAGCTTGGAGTGTAAGTCAGTGCAAAGGCCCTTCACAGAAGCTTTAGCTGTTGCAGATGGAACAAGGTAGGGATGCATGTAACTTACCTTGAGAGGACGAGATCGATCAGGTTCCTTCCAGCGCAGATAAAGCTGACCAGCAATAGAAAGCCCCACAAAGAACCAGTAGCTGAAACTGTAGTAGTTAATAAGCTGGAAGACGTCTTCCACACACAAGTAGATCAGTGCCATGATACCCTGTAGCACAAGCCCAAGTTAGCTCCTCCTAGAACCCTTGTCACTCAAGGTGCTCTACACTCCCCTTGCTCCCCACAAACCATCCCCTGTTAAATCTCTGCCCTTTTTTGTTCCCACCCCTTTAGCTTCCTAATTTCAGTCCTTCGTTTCCTATTCCAAGTTGATAGCTTCTTGGCTGAATTTTCAGCCCATCTGTCAGATCTCTGCCAAGTGTGACAATCTTGTCTACTTGACTGGCCTGAGCTGAGTGGTGAGTCCTGGGGCGTCACTGTGGGGACAGTATCAGTCTTCCCCTGTGCTCTTTTTCCCAGCTGCCAAGAAGTGAGCAGTCCACTCCACCACTGCCTTCAACATGGTGCTCCTGCCTTACAGCCAAAGGACCATGGACTGCAACCTCTGAAACTGAACCCAGCTGACTGAATATACTAACTCAACCCACTGTAACACAAAATAACCCCTTGAAAGTGTTTTCCTCTCCATTACGACTCCAACTTTTATTTCTTGTTTGGTTTTTTGGTGCCAGAAGTTGAACACAGGACTTTGTGCTCGTCCGACAGGTGTGGGCCACTGAGCTACATCCCTGGCTCCAGTTCTTATCTCTTAATTCCACACTGCTTTACTGCAGGATGTCAGGACTTTCTGATGCTATTTCTCCTACCTGATCCCATCTGTACTATTTTAACCCTGATCTTCAAAGGACACTTCAAATGTGCTTCTTCCAAGAGCCTTTTTTTTCTTTTTTCCAAATTATCCTCTTCCCCCATGGAAATAATCAGCTCTTCTCTTAGAAATGTAGGCCAGGGAGTATCACAGAAGAAAAGGCTGGCTGCTTTACTATCTATCTTGACCATCATTACCACATACTCCACAAACTTTGTGCCTTATCTTAGACCAGAAGCAGTTCCCATTACTCAGAGAAGTCCATCTCTCCTAGAAAACACTGCAGCAGCTGGCACAGTGCCTTGCCCATGGTGGGCACTGCATCGATAGTTTTTCTACCACAATCCCCTTACGGCTGTCAGGAAGCTAGAACAGTCATCTAATACCAAATCCTCCCCACCCCAGTATATGTGTTTCAATGTCATCCTTAAGATACTTACATTGAAGAGCAAGGAAGGCACAGGTGTGAACCGCTCCACGTGAATCATGCAGATAGCGTCAGGGAGGTGCCCTTCTCTTGAGCCCACGAAGAAAAGCCTGTTTAGGAAGATAGGAAAAGCTGAGGAAATTGTGCGACACAGGGTCAGCCTGGCTCACCTGCCACACAGCCTCCCTCTCTGCCATCCCTTCAAAAGGTTTGAATACTACAGAATGGAACCCAGTATTAAGAGTAAGAACTGCCGCTGGTAACAAGAAAGGTTGGAGAAGACAAGTGATTATAAAGTCGAGGTCCTGTAACTTGTACCACCTCCTGCCATGGCTCTGTAATACCCAGCCCTGCCAGCAGAAGATGACCCTCTTACCTAGAAGCAGCCAGGATGGAGGCATTGAGGCCACCAAAGCAAGATAATGCAACTGCCAGTGGAATTATCCAGTTGAATACTCCAAAAATCTGGTCTGCAAATGTCTTAAGGGAAAGGAATGGAAAACAATCACGAGAAGAATCTAAAAGGGATGAAAGGCATGAGCAGACTTGCCCCTAGACTCCTCCTTTCGGAAGTCCAAAGTTTCCATGATGGGATAATGGACTTCCTTGCAAACTCAGTATCCTAACAGGGCTTCTACTCCTTTTCCAAGACTGAATAGTTGGGATATATTAAGAAGCCCAACACACACCATCGACCTCCTGTAAGTAAAAGGCCTTTACCACAGCAACAGCATCACTGGCCAAGATGTCCTTCAGGTCTAGTACAGTGTAGTAGGCCACATTGGTCAAGATGTAGATGATGGTCACAATAGGCATGGAAATGCCAATGGAGAGGGGCAGATTCCTACAGCCAAACACAATAAAGGACACATGAGTTCCACAACTGCATTCCTCTCTTAGTCCTTGGAATCTCCCTGCCACACCAGTCTTTCCAGGGTGGAGATTCCTGTTCCATTTTCCCAGTGCGTTTGTGTCTGAGGTGGTCCACAGGACTGTCTGAAGCTCTGAACTCTTCAGAACTAAAGAACACTGTGGGGCAAAGAATATCACATTAGAAGAAAAGGCTACGCAAAACTAGAAAAAGGGGTGGATTGGGTGGGTGAGGGGCTGACCAAGGACTATGTTGGCACAATAACAGCACAGGAAGATGGCACTGACTTTGATTTTATATATAAAGATCTGAATTCCTTCTCTAATAAGATTGAAAATTGAGTTTTAAGATTGATGAATATAGCTAGGTATGGTGCCACATGCCTGTAATACCACCATTCAGGAGGATTGCTTGAGTTTAAGGCCAGCCTGGGCTTCATAGTGGGTCCAAGGCCAGCCTGAACTACATAATGAAACCCTGTCTCAAAAACAATCAAAAAAATTGAAAAATATAAGCCAGGCACAGTGGCACACACCTGTAATCCCAGACTCAGTAGGCTGAGTCAGGAAGAGGCCAACCTGGGTTACATAGCAAGACCCTGTCTCAAAAAAAGAGAGGGAACCAAGACCTGGCATGTAAAGGTACAAGATCCCAGTAATGAATGTAACTGTACTGTCTACCTAGAATGTACCAATAACTTAAATTTAAAAAAAAAAAGAGAGAGAGGGCCAGGGACTCAGCTCAGTGGTACCACCTTTCTCTCAAGTGCAAGGTCCCAAGTTCAATCCCCAGTACAGAGAGACAGAGAGACAGACAGACAGAGATCTCTTAAGGTCCCGTGAGTCCAAAAATGTTGTGATTTTCACAAATATTCTGGACAGTAGACAGTGGACAGCCAAAAAGAGGGGCAAATTCTCAAGTCATTCAGCTTATGTCCAGTAGGTGGAAGCACCGTGCAGGCCTTGATCCTGCTGATACTATCTACTCCCTAGGTTGCGGCAGACACTAGCTGTGCACCAAGAATGCTTTGTTTATTAAAGCCAGAAGGAGTTACTTGGTATGAGGGCTGTTATTCTTTTGAAATTTTACAGAAACCCCACTCCCTGGCAATCTTAGTTCCCAGATTCAGAATATTTTACAGACAGGAAAGCTCCTGGAATTTCTATAATTCAACCCCCTCAATAACAAAGAAGCAGGCAAAGAGAAGGCAACTCCTCAAGGCCATCTAACAAATCAGTGTAAAGACCAACTCCAGCTCTCTCACTTCCTGTCAAGTGTTCTCTTCACTTTGCAGGACTACAAGGCAACTCGGAGTACTGGCTGAGTGACTGAAACACTACCACAGTGGGTATTAGGGAAACAGACAGTGGAAGGAAAACAGGAATGTTCCTGAAAGTCAGTGACTTAAAGTTATCTACATAGGGATGAAGGTGGATGAGAGATTATCAAGGGAAAAAAGTTTTTTTGGGCCAGGGATTTAGCTCAGTGGTGTCTCTGCCTGCCTCGTAGGCGCAAGGTCAAGAGTTCAATCCCCACCACCCCCCAAAATTTTTTTTTTTCTTTTTTGAGAGAGCTTGTCTCACTGTTTTGCCCAGGCTGGTCACAAACTCCTGGGCTGAAACAGTCCTGTCTCAGTCCCCTGAGTAGCAGGGACTACAGATGTGCCTCCACACTAGGCAAGGAATATTTATTTTAAATGCACACCAGCACATAGCACATCTTGCAGGAATGAATGAATGTATTAATTTATATAGCACTCCCAAGAAACTTCACACCTTAGCTCTGATATTGACTTGTGAACGAGTTAAATGTCAGGACCTTAGGCCTCCTATCCATTAAAATAGGGCTGATGAAATTGGCCCCATAGCGTGCTGCCTGGCACATAGTAGGAGCTCATTAAATGATGGTTGTTGCTGCTATGAAAAGTTGGTGGTGAGGCCCCTACCTCTCAGGATTCTTGATCTCTTCAGTGACATAGTTGAGGGTGTCCCAGCCAGAGTAGGAGAAGAGAGCTGAGTACAGTGCCAGGGCAATGTCACCCACTACAAACGATGAACCCTCAAAGGAATTCTCCAAGTTAGCTGAGGCTCCTGGAATCCAAGCACAGTAGAAGGCAGGAGGGTTAGTGTTTCATTCCCTCACCTCCAAGATGATCCAATAAAGGAGCAGAGTGATAGATACGGTAAACGCAGCAGATGAATGGCTCACAGCACTTTGGGCTGCTGTAAAGACAGGGAACAGAAGAGGCAACCACAGGTGGGCTGGTGTGTAGAGAATGGCATGGATGGGGATCCTGACATGAACTAGGCAGCTCTGGGATAAAAAGCCACCACAGAGCAGAAGGGCTGGAGAACAGGAGTAGTACCGTGCTCTGCTCAGGCTGCCTGATTCCTTTCTAACACCAGACAGGGCTGACACGCGTGGGGAAGGACAGGGCTCAGTAGGCCTGGTCAACAGAGCAGTTGTAGGGTAGGTCTCATACCTGGAAACTACAGCGGGATGGGTACAAGGCGTTCATTCCTGACCCTTGCCCACTTCCAAGGCAGAACAATCAGAGATAGGACTAAGCTCAACGATCTATAAAAGCCAACTTCCTGAGCATGGCTGTCAGCTGTTTTGCCAAGATCAGCCTCCTCTAGAGATAAGTTAAAGACAGGTTTTGGGGGAGCTGGCCTGTGTACAAATTTCAGCTCCCCTCTTAACTACTAGTAATTTGGGAAAGATACTGAATTCTGCAGCCTGTTTCCTCCTCAGTAATAAAAAGATACTTTTAATAGTTTTCATAGGATTTTAAATGAAGCTATGGAAAGACTCAAATGAAATAATGCACAAAGTGGACTTTGAGGAGTGTGGCTCACAGGAAATGCTTAACAAGTGTCAGCTGCTATTGGTTCTTACCCTGGCCAAGCCTAACAATGCCAGCGATGATGACCGCGATCAGCGCCAATACTTTGGCATAGGTGAAAATATCCTGTACCAGAGTTCCCCACTTGACATAGGCGCAATTAATGAAGGTTAAGAGACCTGAAAGAAAAATAATACTGATTGGTGACTGACCCTTCCCACCTGGAGGAGATAAGACTCCAAGCCATTTTCCTAACACCAGTCACCAAGACGGACCCTCGGGCCAAGGAAGCGTATGTGTGTGAGTTCTGCTCAGCTCTTACTTGAGCCTCTGCCCCCAGAATGACCTCACCGTTATCATTCAAAGAGAACTTGTGGTCTCCACAGCACCACACACTTCTCCCCCAGCCCTAGCACCTTGCACAGGAGACACAGTGATCACAGCCTTACAGACAGATGAAAGTGCACCACACTCCTAGCCACAGCAGTGGGAGGCAGTGGCGGCTGCACAAGGTCCGCGACATGTTTTGGCTCTTAGGTCACAGTCTCATCACATACTCCCGACCCCCACCCTCCCCATGAGCACACCAGCACCCACCACTCTGACTTTAGTACTGTGAACATTCAGGGGTCCCGCTGTGACTTAACCAGGGTCTGGGCCAGCGGGTCAGAATGTGGGGCCCAGGATCAGGACAGAGGCCAGGCTTCCTGCCCACTGCCTGCCAACTCAGCTGCTTGTTTTTGTGCTTTAAAAGGTTCCTGTAGCTAAGAGCAGTTCCCATAGAACACAGAAGAGCTGCTATCATTTCTCAAGTCCTTCTACCCTGGGACAGAGGCAACCCCTTTACCCTGAAGCTCCGTGGTTCTTAAAGAGCCAACATTCTGAACTAGGGTCTCCACAAGGCCTGAATTTCTTTGGAAAAGTATTGTGTCTATATGACTATAGACTTTTGTGTGCTGGGGATCGAACTCAGGACCTTGTGCTTGCAAGGCAGGCGGCGGAACCACTGAGCTAAATCCCCGGCCCAATACTTTTTTTTTTTAATCTACAACTTTCATGAGAATCTCAGAAGGGGCTGGGGGTGTGGTTCAGTGGTTCAGCATGTGCTTAGCATGCCTGTGACCCTGGGTTCTACCCCCGGCACCAAAACATAATAATTATGATCATAATTTGGACAAATTTATTAACTGTGCCCTCAAAAAGTTAAAATTCATTCCTTTAGAAGAAGAAGAAATTCAAGAAGAAACACCTACACTTGTTGTGAGGTTGACCAGTAGTACCAAGATGTGGCAGGGAAGAGAAAAAAAACTAATGTACATGGACCCTCAGCTGGACCCTTTGGTGGCCCTCAGGCATGCAGATGTACAAACACCTTCCCCTTGGTGTAACAGTGAATCACTTTCTGGCTGCCTCTTTCCCAGCCCAGCACCTGGAACACCATAACTAGTGCTTACTTTATTGGTTTCTTGGGGGTTTGTTTGTTTGCTTTTGAGAGGTCTCCATATGTAGTTCAGGCTGGACTTGAACTCACCATGTAACCCAGGCTGGCCTTTAACCTGTTGTGATCCTCCTGCCTCAGCCTCCCTAGTGCTAGGATTATGAGCATGCACTACCACATCCCGCTCAGGAGTGCTTACTTTAAAGCCCTGCTCCAAGGGCTCCAGGGCCAACGTCAGCCTCACTGCTTTATAGTGGAGAAAGCGTGGGTTTATCTGCTTCAGGGCACCGGTACAGTCAGAAACCACCCCCTGCCTGAGCTCTCCTGTTTTGTCCCTACTCTTTCTGTTTTGTTGCTTCCTGGTCTCATACATTATGAGGGCCCAGGGACTACTTTCATTCGGAGATGCAGGAAAGACTGGCCTCTCAGAACAGGTTTCTCCTCTCTCCCTCCCTGGACCTTCTTCCCTTCCCTGTCCCCATTCTACTCCCTACCAGATTCTTTGCTCTTCCTGAGAAATGACATTCCTGTCCTATTCAAAGGCTTGCCTTTCCACCTAATAAACAAGACAATAAACAACCAAACCTTATCAAAGGGCTGAGCAAAAATGCATGCTCCAGGCCACCCCAGTGCTAGGTTAATAATTGAAGCCACTGTACAGTCTCCACAGGCATCCCGCAAAGCGCCCGTGTCCTGCCCTCTACAAATCTGTCAAATCTGTTGATCCTACTCAGCCAGTCATCCTTTTCTTCCTATCCACTGCACTTCTACCTCCAGCCACCCAACAGCCCTCAAGCCCCTCCTCCCCATCCTGTATCCCTACCCTTCAGCCTCAGGCTCCACTGCAGCCCTTATGCACACAACACAGACCAGGTGTCCCATCAGAAACATCAAGAGCAAGTATGCTGCCATATGCTTAGGGCCAGGGGATGCCCTAAATTGACCTCACACCCCCCAAACTGAAAAGACACGAGAGACTAGTTCTAGTTCAGAGTCTGCAGCTGTGTGCCACAAAGTCTCTTCTCAACTCCCATGGATGTGAGGAGGGAAGACAGGACAGCCAACCTACTCAACACCTTTAGTGCACCAGTCTCTGCAATGAGGACACGGGACTGTTTATATTTTGACCCTACTCTTTCTCTACTGCCATATCCATCCATTTGACCCCTCCTCTTATCCCAGTGTCCCTTTCTCCCAACTCCTGAGCTCATTTCTCAGTCAGAGACCCACCACTTGCCCTGATCTGCTTTTTATTGATACCAGGAGGCTCAGTTTGAAGCAGGAAGGGATCTTATCAAAAGAATGCAGGCATAGAGCCTGAAGAGAGCCAGCCCTCGCCTTCCCAGAGCCCAGCTTCCTCCAGGGCCTGTGGGAACAGGAAATGGGCATGGCAGGCAGCAGTGCTGACCAGGCTCTGTCCTCACCCCCAGCAGACACAGCTGACAGAGGCCCCAGTGCCCCAAGTGCACTGCTCTCAGAGTCAGGACCAGGAGCGGACAGTGGCATGAGAACAAAACAGAAACTCCTGGAAGTTAACCTCAAGGATGAAGATACCCAACTCATCTACCACTAGAGGCAAGTTAGGTCCCGCCTAGTCCTAGACGAAGTCCACGTGATGGCCTAAAATGACCTTCAGGCCTTGGCCCAGGAGCAAGTCCATTCCTGATTTAATGCCAGGGGGAGGAAGAAGCTGCTGCGAAGATATCATTCCAATAGCTCCTACGCAGAGGCTCCTGAATAGATATCAAACACCACTTACATGGGCTCTCCTGGAACAGAGGCTAGTCCTGGCATTAGGGCATTAGGGCATTAGGTCAGCTCTAGAATAAAACCCAGAATTCAACAGGCCAGGTTAAGCCTTTTCTTTCCCCCTGAGACTGTCTTCCTATGTAGCCCAGATTGTCCTCAAAACTACTGTGACCTTCCTGCCTCAGCCTCCCAAGTGCTGGGATTACAGGCATGCACCACCACGCCTGGCAGGTTGATTCAGAAAGGAGCAATGCTTTCAGGCCCAGTCTGGATCAATGCCCAGGATTAGCATGGATACTCAAACTAAATAGTCCCTGAGAAAGAACATTATATCTACAATCTACTGGATATGGTGGCACATGACTATAATCCCAGCTATTCAGGAGTCTGAGCCAGGAGGGTAGCAAGTTTGAGCCCAGTCTGGGCTACTTAGCAATTTAGAAACACATTGAACCGGGCATGTTGGACCACACCTGTAATCCCTATATCTCAGTACCCAGGAGGATCACCATGAGTTTGAGGTAGACTGGGCTATGTAGTGAGTTCAAGGCCAGCCTGAACTAAGTAGGGAGACCCTGTCTCAAAAACCTGATAGAAAAATAAAGAGGAAGGGAGGAAAGGAAGAAAGAAGAGGAGAGGAGGGGAGGGGAAGGGAAGGGAGAAGAGGGGAGAAAGAAAAAAGGAGACAGAGAGAGGGAGGGAGGGGAGAGAAGAGAGTCCCAAAATAAAAAAATGTTCAAATGTCCAAGACTGAGGATGTAGCTCAGCACAAAGGCCTTGAGTTCGATCCCCAGTACTGCAAAAGAAACCAGTCCCATCTGCCTTCTCCCCTAGAGGCTAAAACCTCAACTTTTCCCACCATTTATGAGGAAAATACAGCTTCAAGACCACTTACCCACCCCCATTCCAGGACTCACCTCTGCATTTACTTCACCTGTCATGGTCTCCCTGGAAACACAGGAACCCACAGAGCCTCCAGTGTTGTAGTTGTAGACTCTGAACTTCCTTTTTTGGTACAGGGGATCAAACTCAGGCCCTTGTGCTTTCGAGGCAGGCAGCGGAATCACCGAGCCAAATCCCCAGCCCTTGAACTTCTTAACCATTCCTATTTCCCCACCTCAAACTGATAAGCTTTTTTCCCCAGCTCCTTTTTGAACCTGTAAAATGATTTTTAAGCCCAATATTGGACTTTAGATTCATTCTTAGTAATTTTTCTCTGTGAGTTTTTAATGCACCATTCCCACTTATTAAAAATACCATAGGTGGGCCGGGGATTTAGCTCAGTGGTTTCGCTTCCTGCCTCACAAGCTCAAAGTTTCAAGTTCGATCCCCGGTACCAAAAAGCAAAAACAAACAAATAAAAATACTATAGGTGCCAGGGATTTAGCTCAGTGGTTCTGCTGCCTGCCTCACAAGCACAAGGACCCGAGTTCGATCCCCGGTACCCCCCCCCGCAAAAAAAACACTAAAAAAAAATACTGTAGGTTTTTCCACTGGATTGTATCAAATCCCTTCAATTTTATAAAATCTGCCTTTTTTGTTTTGCTTTTTGGAGACAGGGTCTTGAACTCACTATGTAGCTGAGGTTGGCCTCGAACTCTCAGTGATCCTGACTCAGCCTCTCCAGCACAGGGATTACAGGGGTGCACCATCACACCCAGCTACTAAATCTGCAAATTTGAGGAGCGTAACTCCCGAGTTCACAGAAGTCACTGCACAAATGTTGACTAGGCACAAAGAAATACATTATATTGTTCGATTAATATGTGTTACTAATTATTTTTCAAAGTCACAACAACAAAAATAAATCAGTGAGTGTTGAGTAGGATTGGCAGAGTCCTAAAGTCTATCCCTATAGACCTTCCTGTATGTTGCCATTATTTTACATCATTCAACTGCCAAATAACCTATCAGATAATACTTTTTATCTAGTCTACTTTTTTCCACCTTGTCAACAAGAACATCTTTCCTAGAGAACTTTCTCTGCTTTAA